TTTTTTTTTTTTTTTTTGAGACAGAGCCTCAAGCTGTCCCCCTGGGTAGAGTGTCGTGGCATTACAGCTCACAGCAACCTCCAACTCCTGGGCTCAAGCGAGTCTCCTGCCTCAGCCTCCCAAGTAGCTGGGACCACAGGCGCCTGCCACAACGCCCGGCTATTTTTTGGTAGCAGCCGTCATCGTTGTTTGGCTGGTCCAGGCTGGGGATTCGAACCCGCCACCTTAGGTGTACGTGGCTGGCGCCTTAGCCAGTTGAGCTATAGGCACCGAGCCAGCTTTTTCAGTTTTCATTTTGGTAGGTTCCTTTTTTGTAATTCTTCTGTGGCACTTTTTTTTTTTTGCAGTTTTTGGCCTGGGCTGGGTTTGAACCCGCCACCTCCAGCATATGGGGACAGCACCCTACTCCTTTGAGCCACAGGCGCTGCCCCTTCTGTGGCACTTTTTAAATGTTTTCTCAGATAAAAAAGGATTCATCACATCACGTGCTTAGGTTTCTAGATCGTAAGATTTTATTTGTGGTGGCATCTAAGTTTTCATTTTAACTGTACTGTTTTTATCACTAAAATTTTGCAAATAATGCCACTTCAAAATCTCTCTCTCTCATACTCATTTGGTATTTGATTGGTGTGAGCAGGTAGTAATTGTTAAAAGACCTTAAGAACAAAGCCAAGGTTTTCCCAATGAAGAAGAAATTTTGTCCTGTGGGCCGTGGCTTCAGCTTCTGTTCAAGTTTCCAGCCTACTTTAGAGATTTCAAACTTGCCAACCTCCACAACTGTGTAAGCCAATTCCTTGAAATAGATCTCTTATAGAGGTAACATACGTGTACACAGTTTGCATATATGTATATGTGTGTCTGTGTGTGTGTATGCATGCCTACATATATGTATACATACATACATCCTGCAGTTTCTATTTCTCTGGTAGAACCCTGAGTAATAATATACATTTGCAACTGAAAAACAAGACTAGGAATTAGCAAACCATTCTCTTCCTCCCTGCAAAGAAACTCTCTTTGAAGAGTTTAACTTTTTAAAATTTGCTCCCAATTCTGAGGTTATGTCTACTATGCAACTTTACATTTCTCCTTTTCTACTTTCATAATTCCTTCCACTAATTAATATTACCAAACCTTTATGAAGTACCCTATATACACAGTAGCCTTGCATTAGTGTTGATAAGCAGACTTAAAGGATGGGATAGTATCGAGTATGAGGCGCATCAAACAGGAATCATAATGGCAACAACAGAGACTGAACACCATTGGCTGAAGCAAAATCAACAAAACAAAGAATGTATTAGTTGGGGAAAGGACAGCTCAGAAAAGCTGAGAGAGCTGAACAGTGAGGCTTAGAAGGTGGCCAGGAGGATGTATCAGATGCAACCAGGAGCATGGTCAGACATCCTGCCATGAAACTGATACAGGGCTCCCCCAGTCAAGGATGGCCAGGGGACCCCAGTTTTCCTAGGCTTAGACAATTTCATGAAGGGAACACCTGACCTTGTGCCCTGATCTGGAGGGACTGCATTCATTCCTTTGTTGATAACACTCATTAACGATGAAAACGTGTTTCTATTTGTCAAGTCCTGGCTAGGTGTAAATTCTCAAGACCTAGTACCCATAGATAAAAAGCCCACATAGAAACTCCTCAGTTAGTTCTTTCCCCCTGCCAGAAGCTCTGGTGCCTTTTTCTTCTGTATTCTTTTCTAATTTCTAGATAAAATCCTATCTTGCCACTGATCTGTGGTCCGTGGGTTCATTCCTCAAATCCCCGAGACCAAGGACCTACTGAAGAGTGAAATTCCAGTAACAAAACCAGCCTAGTGGGGCCATCGCTACACCCAGCTGGCTCCTGCATACACTATTTTGGAGGCTACTGTTGCCTTTATTGTCCTTGGAAATGTAATGCCATTGTTGCTACTGCCAGCCTCTGCCAGAAGGTCCTCTCTGCTGTCCTATGTTTTTGGGTCACTGGCTCCTGATTCAAGCCCAAGGTGAGTGCCTTTAATTGGTTATGCCTGGATTGTATAATGAGGCCCTAGGTGTAAGGGTGCCTGGGAAAGCTTTTGGTATTTTTAGGGGACAGATAACTCTGCTTGGTGGGAAATTCTCCAAATATAGGAAAGGGATTTGGATGGTGCTCAGGGAAAGAGGACAAATGTCTACTGCTGTGTCTTTTGGTACTACTCATTGGTGTAAGGCAGCATGGCAGTAGCAGCCTAGACACCATGGAGCACCTTCATGGAGCACTTGGTGGTTAGTAGCCAAGTAGCTGGAGGGACCTAGGGATGATGCCCATGGACAACAATGACCAGTAGAAAAGGATGCCTATGAGAAGTGAGTGCTGTCCATGGTCAACCCCACAGATCCTCCAGGGAGTTTGTGTGAATGAGAGGAGGTGTGCCTGCAGCCTCCCTCACCACTGTTAGACAAAAACATACTCCACAATGCTTCAAACAAATAGAGGTTTAATTTCTCTACATAACAAGGAGAGGCATTGTCTATTGACAGTTCAGAGACACAAAGGTGCCAAAGCTATCATTTCTGTCATTTAAATAGCTCTGCCCTAGTGGTTATAATATGGCTGACTGCAACAGTTCCAGGTATCATGGCCATATTCCATGGCTGAAAAGTGTGAAAGGGACAGCTGGGTCTGTCTCTTTCATCGGAAAAACACAAGTGCTCCCAGGGGTCCTAGTAAACACCCATAGCTGCAAGGGAGGCTGGAAAATATTTGCAATGTCTTCTCTCTGAGATAGAGGCCAAGGAGAATGAGAATGAAACACAGGAGTGTTACCTAACCAACAGGGAATTCTGCCATCGCCAAGTTTTGTAATATGATTTAATTTTGATTTGTGAGCTGATAATTCCTTCATTTTATGTTGATGCTTGCCAGCCCACAGTTTATGATAGGCAACAAAAATTTCCCCTCCAAATTATGGAAGGTAAACAGTTGACAAAATTCTATCTAGTAATATCTCTTTCCCTCCCTTTTCTGGTAAATGGGAGGAAGTTACTATTATTTGATTGTAGTCATGTGCAAAAATGATGAATCACAGAATGCCAAGGCAGTGACAGAGCATTGAAAAGCATTATGATCCTGAAAATAGGACCTAGAGAGGAAAATGTATGGTTTTAAAGATTGAAATGTATTTAAAACATAGCACAAAAAGGTGACTTGTTTCAAATCCTGCTTCAGTCAATAAATAGCTATGTGGCCTCCAGAGACTCCATCTTTGTTTTCTCTTCTATAAAATGATAGTCTTTTCTTTTATTCTTCTTTTTTTAAAATGAAATCATAGCTGTGTACATTAATCCAATTATGGGGTACAATGTACTGGTTTTATATACAATTTGAAATACTTTCATGAAACTGGTTAACAGAGCACATTTGCTAGTCTTTTCAATGAGGTGAAATCATAATCTAGATGGGTTATTCTCAGATTTGAAATGTGTGACTGTATGTAATTTGTCCGGATGCCTTATGATGCTGTGTGGATGGACAAGGATAGATCGCTATATACTCATTCATTTAGTCTTTTTAAAATTCAAAAGCTGGTTTTTGAGCACCTACTGTGTGCTGGGCAATGGAGGCACCAAGCATGAATAAACCAGTTTAGTTGGGGTGGAGCTCAGATTGAAGTTTACTCTAAAATGTTTTTAGGAAAAGAAAGACTTTGGATTATTTTCTGAAGCAGGTTAGTCTAATTCCTTCCATGGTGGAATCACTTCTAGCCAAGCTCAGGGCAGGCAAGATCTAAGCAGATCACAACTCCTCCACCGCAGGCTGTTTCCCGCCAGCTCCTCGGTTCCCTGAAGCCTCCTCTCACAGAACTGACTCCATCTTCAGAAGGTCAAATTTAGGCATATGGCTGTGAGAAGGGTGGAAGAGCCGCTCAGTCAGCAAGCCGCTCTGTCCAACAAGAATGAAGGGTGGTGATGGGGCGCGGATGGGGTTGGGAGGACTAGTTTTCGAATGATTCAAGTGCATTTCATTTATTGTGTACTTTATTAGTGTTACACTGTAGCTTATAACGAAATAATTATACAACTTACCGTAATGCAGAATCAGGAGCACTGAGCTTGTTTTCCTGCAACTAGACAACCCTATCTGGGGAGGGGGGCGGGATGGGAGACAGTGACGTATGAAGCTTCCATTGCAGACCCCCTGCTCACCTCCTTCTCTGCCGTCTGGTTCCTAACAGGCCACAGACCGGTACCTGTCCTATCCCCAGCCCGGCCCTTGGGTGGGGACCGCAGCTTTAGGGCCTAATTCCTTGGAATTCATATGACTAGGAATTCGTACCTACCAATGCAGTTATAATTCTGATGGGTATACAGTATTTAGGAAGTTACCTCTATCACTTTTAGGTTAAAATTTTCTATTGAGGTTTAAGAAATAGCTGTGATGATACCTAACGTAGAAGATCTCAGTTTTGTTAGAAGACGAAGAAGAATCTAAGTTTTATCCTCTAAGACTAGGAATTCAAGACCATGGGAAGATGTGTGAATCAGAGTTGCAAGCCTTCTAAAGTTTATTTTGAGTTATTTTTTTCTCTTAAAGCTACAAACAGGCAAAAATTCGCATTCAAGCAAATTCCAGATAAACGGACTTGGCTACAAGTGATGCTGTAAGTAACACTGAGCTGAGACCTCACAGAAACTTGATGAAAAACAGTCAACAAACGGCATCTAGGGCTCCGAGGCCCGCTGAAAGCTCTGGACGTCCCCTCTCCGGTAGCGGGTTCTGAGCGAGCTGCCCGGCAGGTGGCTGGAGCGCCGGAACCCGGAGCGCCCGCCGGGCGAGGGGCGGGAGCCAGGTCCGGGAGGAGCATCGCCCGTCGCCATGGTAACAGCCAGAGCTGCAAACAACCCAACCTGCGGGACCCACCGCGGCACAAGAGGACTCCAGGGAGCAGCCGCGGGCAAGGCGCGACAGGGGAGGTCCCTGCACCGGCCCAGCCGCCACTACCGTGTCGCGATCCCCGCGGGACGCCATGGACAAGCAGGTACTGTGCGCGCTCTCGGCCCGCGCGGCTCCAGCCCAGCCGGGTCCGCCATGGCGCATGCGCGGAGGGCGGCCCCGGGCTCAGGGCTCAGCGCCGCGCCGGGTGTTAGCACAGGTTGGGGAGTCGGTGGCGTCTGTCCTGGGGTACAACTTCAGAGTTTGGAGACGGAAAATGCTTACTTGACCTTTTAGAGCTAGGATTGCGGCTTCTTGAGCTTTGCAGGTTTTTTCCTGAGGAGGTAGTTGTCAATCATGCCCATCAGGGCACCCATAAAATTGTAAAAAAAGTAGTAACTCTAGGGATTCCCTCCTCCCCTCTTCCTCTTGCTGTAAAAAGCCCCTTGGCTGTCAGCAGGGTGGAGCCAAGCAAGCCTTGGTTCCAAGTCGAGCATCAACAATATGCTCCAAGATCGCTTTGTTTCAAGCGTGGCGGTTACACGGTTACGCGTTCTTATTAGCCCTCGGGTTTGGACAGGTGCGAAGGTTTAGTTCCCTTGGAGAAACAGGGCAGGACGTGTGCAGAGAAGCCCCACTGGGTGGTTTCGTTCTGTCGTTTACATTTCCCCCAGTATGCAGCAGGTGAGATGCAGCTGGAAACGCGCTCCGTGCATTTAAATCAGCTCTCATTTCATTCAGTCTTGGAATTTAAAAGAAAAAAAAAAAAGAATATTGTAGAATGAAAAATAATCCAAGCATAGTACTCGTTTTTGCACCTACCTTCAAGGAAGATTGTATTTACATACATTTTTCATTTAGCTACGCTATCTATAGCTATGTAACTATAAGCCTCTATTATGCTAATCAATAAAGTATGCACTTTATCATGATTTAATTAACAAAGGTATACTTACTGAATTAAGAGCAACGTATATGCCTATACATTATGCAAATAATACTGCAGTTTTCCTTCTCTATGTTTCTTGCTTCAAAATTGGCATTTATTCTTGTGAGCATCCTTTTATGGAAAACACATTAATATTATTATTTTCATATAATTTATGTCATAAATACGTGGAATTTCCAATATAGCTCTTCTGTTTCATTGAAGACAAATGCTTATTATTTCTTTTTACTCTTGTAAGTCACTTTTTCCTTCATGTTCTTTCCAAAGAAAATAGTGACCCTGAAATGATAGATGGCAATTCTTATTCTAATACCAGTAAACTGGGCGGTGCCTGTGGCTCAGTGAGTAGGGTGCCAGCCCCATATACCGAGGGTGAAGGTTCAAACCTGGCCCTGGTCAAACTGCAACAAAAAATAGCCGCCGTTATGGCAGGCGCCAGGAGTCCCAGCTACTTGGGAGGCTGAGGCAGGAGAATCACCTAAGCCCAGGAGTTAGAGGTTGCTGTGAGCTGTGACTCCACAGCACTCTACTCAGGGCAATAAATTGAGACTCTGTCTCTAAAAAGTAATAATACCAGTAAACCAATGATTTTTGTGTATATCTTAAATAAAAACTCCTATAGTATTATTTAATCCTACAGGGAGTTCATCAAGTTCACCCTGTGAGGATAAAGCATGGCTATTTGCTTTATGTGTCTTCTTGGGTTTTATTATAATGTTTGTTTTAAGATTTCCGTGCCGTGGCCTTTGCTTCCAATTTTTTCTTGGTTTGTCCAAGTTGAAGTTGAAAGATTTGAAAATTACCAAATCTCTCTTGTTTAACTTAAGTAGAAATCTAGGAAATTAAATTTATATAGCTCTATCTATTCACTTGCAAAGATCCCCCAGAATGTGATTGAAGAATGTTTAATAATATGGGAAAATATTTACAATTAATGAGTGAAAAAAGTAGGTTACTAAAGCCATAGTTTCCAATTTTACAAAAATAAAAAAAGGTATGAACATATGGATAGAAACCAGAATGAAAGGACACACACCAAAATATTGATAATGATTATCTCTGGCCAGTGGTATTAAAAAAGATTTTAATATTCTTTGTTTTTTCTTCATTTGAAGTTTTTCATACATTATCTGTATAATGAATATACATAATATATATACATATATATTTGGTGTTAGTAAACACCATAAAGAATAAAGACCCCTAAAATATTAATGTAACTTTTTTCTCCTAAGACAAATTTAGCATACTTTGATAAATATTTTCCGTTTTCCAAGCACATGGGTCACCTCTTTGGAACACTGTTTTGTACCTTGTGCTCTCCCCCAGCTAAATAAACAGCCCCTATTTTACATAAATTGGAAATACTGTAGAAGGTGGTCCATGAGCTTGCCTAGGTCAACGTGAAGGGCAGCAGCAGTGAGACAAACGGATGGCTAAGTCCTTCTCCCTTTCCTGAGCAAGCATCATTTTCTCACCTCTCATCGGTAGCAGCTTATTGCCTCTTATCCGAGATTGAGTCCCAAAGGATTTTGGCAGCCCTAATAATTTATTATCCATGCTGCAAAAATGTATGGCTGTGGTTATATTATTTAGAAAAAATAGAAAGAAACAGATGCTCAAGCCAAGTATAAGGTGTCCAAATTGTTGCATCCCTGAAATGTGCCCTCCACAGAACTTTAAATGCCCCTAGAAAGCTAGAGTCTCTGGTTTCCCCCAGGGGCAAGTGATGATGTAGTTGAGGCCATTGTCAGTACTTGGAGGAGGGTGCTGAGAGTATGCAGGTTTCGAGGAACCGATTCCCACCGCATAAGAAATGCTAGGAGGAAGTTTACCTGTTACATTTTATCCTTTAGTCGGACTAAGCTCTTTCCTGGCACTCAGTGCAGTGGCTGTTTGTTTATACTTTAGTACTGTTTGCATTTGGCTTAGCTTCTTACTGCCTCACTTTTAACAAACAGACCAAAAAAAAAAAAAAGTTTAACAACTGCTCACTCATTACTTTATGAATGAAACCCAGTACCGTCAACTGCAGAGTGAATTACCTACCAGCGATATTTGTACTTCCCAGACTCTTGAGTCACAATCCTGCCAGGAAACCAGCTTCAAGACCGTATGTGGAGCCCTCCTATCATCTCAGGGCAGGCCCGGCCCATTACCAGATCCAGGTGTGGTGTGAAAGGCGTGCGTGGAATTGGTGGAACGAATGTTTTCTTTTTGTATTTGCCTCTCTCTAGAGAAAACGCTTAGAAGGTGAGGCTGGAGTAGGAAAAGTGGTATTAGAGATACTGAGCGGTTAGGTTCAATTCAACAAACACTTCTTAAGTCCCTTCTGTGTTAAAGGACCATGGAGTAACTCTGGGGAGCTTTTCCTTTCTTCTTTTCCTCCTTCACCCTCTCTCCCGCTTTCTTCCTTCACTCATCCCTTCTTCTCCCCCTCCCTCCATTCCTTCTTCCTTCTTCACCTTCCATCTCCCTCCCTTCCTTTCTCAGTTCTTTGTCTCTCCCTCCGTCATCCCTCTCTTCTCTGTATTTCCCTCCTTCCCTCTGAGCTATGCATCGCCCACTTGCTGCTAGATCCTTTCCCCAAATTCCCCTTCATGGCTCTGAAGCTTTCCTAACTCTCATTATACAGTTCATACCATTTCCCCCTTTTCTTGTGGGGATCAAATGAAGTGAACAAATTGTGACGACTGTCCACTATTTTTTGAGTAACTTACATTAAGATCAGTGGCCTCCCTTCCAAGAGACAGAGTCTATATGTTGAGAAAGGAAAGTGCACATATGGTAATTCTCAAATTCATGTGAGGACGCTGTCCAAAGCTTATGCTATTTTAATAAGCCTATTTAATAGAGAAAACCTACAGTTGTGCCTACCCCACAGGGAGTAATAGGATTATCATGGGATTCCGACAGATGCCATTTCTGCCCTGGGAAGGAAATACAAAGAGTCAGAATGTCAGAATTTCTTTCTCTTTTATTTTAAAATTTTATTTCAAAATATTAAGGGCATACAAATATTTTTGTTACATGGATACTTTATATAATGCTTAAGTGAGGACTTTGAGTGTGTCCATCACCGAAATAGCGGTCCTTGTACCTGGGAGGCCAGTTTCTACCTTTCCCTCCATCCATCCTCCCCCACTCTTGGTTTCCGGTCTTTACATCTCCTGGTGCCTGTGTGTGCTCAGTGTTTAACTCCCTGTTATTAGAGGGTGCATGCGGTATTTGTCATCTCATCCCTGAGACACTTTGCGTAGGATACTGGCCTTCCGTTCCATCCAAGTTCCTGCAAAAGACATTATTCCATTCCCTTTTATGTCTGAGCAGCGCTCTGTGGTAGATATACATCAGGTTTTCTTTATCTACTCGTGAGTTGATTGAAAGTTAGGTTGATTCCAAATCTTCGTGATTATAAATTGTGCTATGATAACATTCGAGTGCAGGTGTCTTTCTTATAAACTGACTTTTTCCCACTGGGTAGATACTCAGTAGGATCGCTGGATCAAATGGCGAGTCTACATTTATTTCTTTGCGGAATCTCATACTGTTGTACTAATTTGCAGTCCCACCGACAGTGTGTAACCGTTCCTTTCTCTCTGCATCCATGGCGGCATCTATTGTTTTTTGACTTTTTAATAATGGCCTGACATGGGTAAGTGGTTTTAATTCACATCCCCTAGTGGTTAGTGATGTTGAGCATTTTTCAGGGTCGCTGGCTGTCTGTCTATCTTGTTTTGAAAAACTTCTGTACATGTCTATTGCTCACTCCTTAGTGGGGTTGTTTGAGTTCTTTGTAGATTCTGGGTTATCAGCCCTTTTATTGGATGTAGAGTTGTAGAATATTTTCTTTCATTCTGTAGATTGTCTGTTACTCTGTTGATATTTTCTTTGCTGTGTGAAAAAGCATCTTTCTCTTTTGAAGCAGCCACTGGGTTGGACCATCAGGGCTTGGCCTTGGCATGTGGGCTCTGCCCTCTGCATTTGCCTCAGGGAGTGGTTGTGACCTCCCTGGAGTACTTGGACTTTGGAAAAAATAAAATGTCTTATACTCTTGGGAAGCTGAAGACTGTGTGCGTCATTTCTGAACATTGTTTAGTTTCTTTGGGGTAAAGAATGACAGAGCTTAGGATGCAATGGTATCCTGAGATATCCATTTATTGTTCATTACAAAGAAACTGAGCAAGGGCTAGCGCAGAGAAGGATGTCCTTACTGACTGTGGCAGTGTTCCCCAGGGAAGTGAAAGGTAATCCATGCACTGGGAGCCGGT